TTCCTGAGTTATTCCTTAGTTCTGCTGCCATAGACTTAGACTGCTGGAGCACAAACTGAGTATATTTCCTCACTCTGCTGTTGTCTTTAGTCACTCTTTTACATGTTTGTTTTAATTACTTCTATTATGTTTATAACATTTTCTTTGTCTCTCTTCCAGAAGGAAATGCACCTGGACCAGTCAGTTGTGTTTGTCTCTTGGGAAACCCAAACCCAGCTGGTGGAGGCAGATGGCCGCCTGTCCTGAGCCTGGTTCTGGTTCTGCTGGAGGTTTCTTCCTGTTAAAAGGGAGTTTTTCCTCTCCACTGTCACCAATGTGCTGCTCAGGATGGGAGACTGTGATGAAGTGAAGATTCAACAAAATCTGCTGGCTTCTTCAGATTTATCTTTTTTTATCGTGCCCTAATACAACATTTGTTGTGACTTGGCGCTATATAAATAAACTAAAGTGAATTGAATTTAACTGAATTGTTTTGAATTACACAAAACTATGCATTTTCCAGCCATTTGAGCATTTTACTAAATTTTCAGGATTAATAAAGCAACAGAAAATCAGTGTTTTATAATCAGTATTTTAACCCGAACTTTATCTGAGATCATAACTGAAACTTCCATTTTCTTTGATTTGTTTTATGTTTACACACTGAGCACCAGCAAACTTGACTGCATCAAATACTTTTATCACAAAATTTGCACCATYTAACCTCATGTAGTAAAAACAACTAAAGACTAAATTAACCTAATGAAAAGTTTTAATTTTTTTTCATCCCCCATTTATGGCGCCCCCTACATGGACGGCGCCCTTATGGTTTGCCTACACTGCCTATGCTACGGGCCGGCCCTGATGGAAGTAAAGTCTCACAGCAYCACGGTGTGATGTGTTTGTGTTGCTGAGTCTGCATTTTATTGACATGACTTGATGATGTCTTACCAAAAAATGAAAATCCTGGAAACKCACCAGCTCTAACCAGGGATAATTTAATTTTGCTGTGGTGATTAAACTTTTACTCCTCAGCAGAAAGCAAACTTCAGGATCAATTTGAYCCCCATTAGGATGGGAGAACATGATCTCATTACATTTTAAAACTTTTAGCCAGGTGTTTTTTTTATACTTTTTACTAAGCAAACATTTGATTGATGCCTTTAGGCAGTAAAATAGTAAATGAGAAAAGAACATTTAAAGCCTTTTTTTAAACTTTAAAACAACTAAAGAGGGATCAGTTTTCAAATAACTCCTCTGAACTGAACTAAAGCTTTAAGTTGAGCCTAATTAATGATGAGGTTGCATTCACTGACTGTGTCTTTTGGCTGCATAGCACGTTGCTTCTAGCTCCAAGAAACAAAGCTGGCGTGAATGAGAAACTCAAAGCAACAGCTTGAAATAATAGATAACAACTCCAAGTGTGACAGCGCTGCGGCTATGAACATATTTTTGCAAGCAGATATCAACAAATACTTTCACGTTATTGTACCATGAGCAAAAATTAAAGGGGCAATATCATGTAATATCCACTTTTTTGAGTTTTATATCATGTTATAATGTTATACTCTCATAAAAAACATGCCCAAAGCCTTGCTCTGACTCATTCATGCATGTTTCAGAAATCCTGCAGCGTTTTTAMGAAGCCATGCTGAGGAGCAAAACGACAGGTGGGGACCAGAAACACCTTTTGGTACCAGAAACGCCCCTGGGACGTGTCTTTAAGCCAAACTTCCTCATGGCAGAGCGCACCCCCTCCCCACTCCCCACACACCCCGCCCATGACTCCTACAGGCTCTCGGGTGAAAGTGAAAGTGAAACCTAACTGTCTGCTGAGCTCTCAACATAAGTTCTCACTCAGTGAAGCTCTTTTCAGATTAAAAATACCTTTGAGGAAATGTATTTTTCAAATGCCAAGTAAACTGCATCATGGCAGCGCCCCCACCCCCTGCACTGAAATGGGCGAGACAGAAGCGAAGGTGGTTCTTAAAGAGACAGAGACCAATTTCAAAGCGTTTAGAAGAGGAAGTGATGAGAAGATAAGTTTATCTATTTAAACATAAAAACAGCATTTTGATAACAGCTAAATGTGACATATATACTTTATTATGGTATAGTATTTAAATGTATGCCTGAGAAACATGATATTGCCCCTTTAAGCAACTAAAATAAAGCTATTTGTGAAAAAAAAGGTCCAAACTTGTTTAAAACAATAGTTTAGCTGTGAAGCATGTGGAAGTCACAAGTCTGAGCATTTGGACCTTGTTTGGAGTGAGCCGGGTCACTGGATCACAGCCGAACCTGAACATTAAAGTCATCGACTGATTTATGAGGCAAAATGTTCAGCTCCATCCCAAACAACAACAAATAAAACAGCATAAAACAGCATATTTAGATGTAGTTTTGGTTGTTTTTACGTTTCTTTTAAACCCAAATTAACAGAAGTGATTAAACAAATGGCGTGTCCACTTACAAAGGAGATGTCTTGACGTAGCTGGTGTTGCCATGTGAGCGGGGACACTCTGGGTTGACGCACCAAAAGCCTCCCCCCGTGTTGACACAAGATGTCCCTCGACTACAGTTGTGATTCTGGCTTAAACATTCGTCCACATCTGGAAGACAAAACATCAGAGGCATGTAAGAATGAAAGACAGGGGAGAGGGACTTTGCCAGACCGACTCCCATGCTTCCTGGCTGCCGCGGTCTGGGCAGGGGGTGCTCGGCGCTTTATTTAGTTTTTTTTTAGTTTAGTCTTCCAAGAGTGCCTCGTGTCCTAAAGATCCCTTCTGTTGGGAAAAGCTGAGGTCATTTGTTCCAGTGGCCGGCGCGCGGTGAGCTTCAGGGGCAACTGTGAAAGTGAGGCAGGCAGACACCTCTGATGAAAAGCAAACCTTTGCTTCCAAAGATTCCTCGTCTTACTAAAACGCGAGCATTGCGCCCAATCAGATCTGCCGCCAAGGCCCCTGTGAAAGAGCCTTTGTCCTCTTCTAAACCTTTTTGCTCACCTTCACAGCTCCGCCCATCTGGGAGTAACTTGTAACCACTGGGACAAGAGCAGTGGTAGGAGCCTGGGACATTTACACACTCGTGGACGCACAGCTTCCCTCCTTGGTCCAYCCGGTACACTTCACATTCATTTACATCTGTTGAAAAAAATTAATACAAGTAAAACAAATCCTCTGAGGATATCGTAAGTATTTAGATTGGCTTTCGTGAAGCTAGTAGTCTGTTTGGAGCCACTGTAAAAATAAATCCTTTAATTGAAATGCAGTGTTGTATAAAGTACCTCAAAGTCATATTTGAGTAAAAGTACAAGTGTCTTATAAAAATGCTTTGGTAAAAGTTAAAGTCTTCTTTATGAATATTACTTAAGTAAAAGTCTTAACTTATCTGATATTATTTGTAC